AATGTGCTGGAGTTTGTTTGAGGATGAGAGCAGAGGATTTTTCTTGAATCCCTCGCGAACAACTTGTGGGGATGTAGGGGCAGTTTGGTCATTTTTTTTTAGGCTTTCTGACCCCAAGACTCAACTAATCTCTGCAATTCTCGAGCTGTGATCCTTGGAGAGTCTTTGGCCACACCCCCAAAACAAAATCAAGACTTTGTAAAAGAGCATAATAGGACCCATTTAAGGGAATTTGGCCTTTGTGTTTACACATATTTGTACTGATTGGAACTTCTTAATTATTGCCCTGATGGTGGAAATGGGGATTTTCAATGCGTTAGCTTTTTTATTATTTGCCATTTTTTTGCCGAAATGAAAGATCAAAAGGATAAACAATGCAGATTTAACCCTAACTGAGGTAAACCATGCCCTCCCTACGGACAAAGAAATGTAGAAATACATAAATGTGAAAATAAAGAAATGTAGAAATGAATAAATGTGGAAATGAACAAATATGGAAATAAATTCATAAATAAATAAATGTGGAAATAAATAAAAGTCGAAATGAATAAATGTATAAATAAATAAAATAAATAAATTTTGGGGGGAAAAAAATATATACATAAGGAAATAAATGTATGAATAATTATTTATTTTTGCTTTTTTACTTTTCTTTATATATTTCTTTATTTATTTTTGCCTTTTTACATTTCTTTGTATATTTATTTATGCATTTATTTATTTTGGCAGGTTTGGCATTCCATACATGAATTTACATTTTATTTATAAATAAATAAAAACTGTGAGGACTTTGCGTCCTCATTTCAGAACACCACTGCACGCCATATATATATATATATATATACACACACACACACAAACAAACACCATAAGTTATCTCATTTGTAAGTCGCTTTGGACAAAAGCGTCTGCTGAATGATTATATAAATGATCAAAATTAAATGATAAATATAATGTATATGTAAGTTTGGAAACAGTATGATACTTATAGGGCCAGATTTAATTAACAGGGCAAATTAGCATGACAGCACTATAATCCCATAAAAGGGCCGATGGGAGTGTAAAGTTCTGCAGGTGATTTACTGACAATGCCCACATTAAAGAACACAGACACAGCCAGATCATTTCCATACTGACCAACACAATCTACTAAGAGCAGGACAAATTAACATCTGGTTTAAAGGGATAGTTCACCCAAAAATGAAAATTCTGTCATCATTTACTCACCCTCATGTTGTTCCAAACCTGTATAAGTTTTTCTGTATTTTTTATCAAATACATGCAGCCTTGATGGTGGTGTGTGTGTTTATATATATATATATTGTACTATATTCAGTTTTTTTCTCTTCTAGACATATCTCGAAGAACACAGCATTGACTGGGAGGGACCAACACCAGTGGATGATGATGACATAATTGAAGTTCCCCCACCACCTGAGAATCTGCACAGTGCTGTTTTCCAGTTTCTTCAAGGAAGAGTGGATCCACTTGGCACTAGCACTTGCTTTGGAGTTGACATTTTCTTGGAGGCATTAAGGGTTTCAAGGGAGCAATTGGATTACAGTTTCTAACATGTATAACTTTAAATGAGGGTCACCATAGCCTGGTCCCTCTAAACTAAATCATTGTATTGTAGCAATTTCGCTGTGTATTCTAAAAATCTGCAAATTAGTTTACTATTATGATTACTAGTTAATACTAAAGCTTGCCAGCCTACTGTATGACCACAACAGTGAAAGACCCCATGTTTTCAGGAGTGTATTCAGAAAATGGTTCATGGTTGTTTTTTTTCTTTACCTCTGTATAATACCTAATAAAGTGGTTTTAAGTGGGTTATAGTGTTCACTGCAAATGGACATTTCTGCTGCTTTATCACCTTTATTCACCTACTGTCGGATATTGGTGTGAGTGTGTGTTTATATATATATATATAAACTGAGCATTAATAAGTATTATTTATATTATAAGAGCCACCTTTGCTTTTATTTGGACAGCTTTGCGTTAAGTATTTGCATCTGTGTTTTTATGGGGAAAAAATACTATGGAAGTCAATGGGGCCTCACAACTGTTTCGTTACAAACATTCTTCAAAAAAAATCTTCTTTTGTGATCAGCAGAAGAAAGAAATTCATACAGGTTCGGAACAACTTGAGGGTAAGTAATGACAAAATTTAAAATTTTGGGTGAACTATCCCTTTAAGACGACAGAACCAGATGACAGAACAAAACTACAGTGCAGTAACAAGACTGCAATTAAGATGACAAGACGACACAATAAGATGACGGTAAGGACGACAGAATAAGATGACAGTAAAGACGACAGAATAAGATGACAGAACAAGACGACAGAATAAAACGACAGAACAGGACGACAGAATAAGATGACAGTTAGGACGACAGAATAAGATGACAGTTAGGACGACAGAATAAGATGACAGT